TGGGGGTTGGGTTTTTGTTTGGTTTGGTCTTTTTGAGACAGGGTCTCCCTGTGGCCCCAGCTGGCCTGGAACTCTGTATGTAGACCAGGCTGGCTTCAATCTCACAGAGATCCTGTGCCTCTTCCTCCCAGGTGCTGGGATTAAAGGTGTGTGCTAGCAATGCTTGGGCTTGTTTCTGGTTTTCTTGTTTTGAGGGAAGGTCTCCTGTAGTCCAGGGTTAGCCTCAAACTTGCTATATATGAGGCTGGCCTTGAACCCCTGATCCTTCTTTCTCCTATTCCCAAGTGCTGGGACTATAGGTGTGCACCTCCACACCCAGCTTCTTTACTACCTTTTTCTGAATGGATTCACCTTCACTGGCTTAAAGAACTAGTGATCAGTAAAAACACATTACCGTGTTTCTTTTTAGAGCCACCTTGTAGATGCTGGGCCTGCTAACCTGGGGATCGTTTGAGGCACACTGCTCCCAATAGTCACAATTAGAACACTTTTCTATTATACAGTTTTTCTTCTTGTGCTTTTATTTTTTGGTTTAAAAAAACCCTTTTTGACACAGGGCCTTGCTATATAGACCTAGGTGGCCTGGACTCCCAAAGTAGACTAGACTATCCTTGAACTTGCAGCAATGCTCCTGCTTCTATGTTCATATGCTGGCATCCTTCATATCTTAGTGGTTACAACCCACTGGCCTACGTATCTCACCCTTTTGCCCTTCTAGAAATCACAGGTGATACTATATTGTTTAAATAAGGAAGATACCAAAGGCCTTTCTCAATGTCATACAACCTACATGTCTGGCTGTGACCCAGGCCTTTCTATGTGAGGTCACAAAGGTCCCCTTTCCAGTGTCTCCACGCAGGGGAAATGGAAGGCCACCTTCCACTTTATAACAAAGATCCACTAAGTGGTGTCCCACGGGCCCACATGTACACTGGGTGTTGGTCAGCAGTTGACAATGGGGACACTACACCCTTAAGACTCCAAAACCCACCCAGGAAAGTGAGATGGTACATCCAGGGGAAATTGGTTAGAACCCAAAAGAAGTCCCAACAGCTTTCTAACAGCAACATCCTTGTGTTCATCACACTGAAGGGTGGGACAATAGAGGAAGATCAACGCCACAGGAACAGACTTGCCTGGAAGTCCCCATCCCTCAAGACTTATTCAGTTTGACAGCCTTCCTTTAAGACTGGGCCTAGGTTTAGGTTCCTGGTTTGGTAAGGCGTCCTCATACAGCATGTCCTTTGATATTTTGGCCACAAGGTGGCACTCCAGCACCTCCATTTACCTGCTTGATCTGCTCCTGCCAGGGTAAGGCAAGCTGTATTCCCAAAGGGGCCTGCACACCAGATGTGGGTGCCAACAATCCTTCTAGGACAGGTGCATCTTGTTAGCACCTTAGACTCTCACAGGCTCTCAAGCTCACAGATGTTACTCAGTTCCTCATGATATGCCCACTCAACTAAGTCAGCCAGCTCTCTAGGTAAGGAGAGGGGCTCAACAGTAACAAACTCCTTCACCCTCAGAAAGGTGCAACGTAAAACTTCTAGAAATGACTCAACTGTTAGTGGAGAGCAAGTGGCCACCTCACACATGACAAGCAGGAGTAGAAATGACACAACCCTTCTGGGAACTTGGTGTGTCTGCTAAAGCTGACCAGCAACTCAACTTCAACAGAAACAAACACGTACACCTACCAGAAGGTAGGTAGGAGACTTTTCATAGCCTCCTCTAACAGGAAACTGCCTGTGAGGGTTATCTTAAGTGTCAACTGGACTGAATCTAGAATCACCATGGAAACAGATTTCGGATATGTGTATGAGGGTATTTCCAGGAAGGTTTAACTGAACAGAAAAAACCTACTCTGACTGTGGGGGCACTATGCCATGGGCTGGGGTCCTGTCCTGAATAAAGGAGAAAGCAAGCTGAGTACTGACATTCATCTCTCTCTGGTGGACCCAATGTCACCAGCTGCCTCACACTCCTGTTGCCACGACTTCCCTGCCATGATGGTTTGTTACCCTCAATCTATGAACAACACTTTCTTTCCCAGTGTGTCACAGCAATAAGAAAAGAAATGAACACGCGGCTCTGGCATCTACTAGTAATCAAAAGACTAAATGCATTGCTCTACATTCACATGAAGGAATACTTCACAGCAGGAAGAAATCAAACATAACCACACATGGCACGGATGCTGTGCCGGCCACCAGTCACCAAGCAGAAGACACTAGACTCAATCCAACACGGTCTGTGTAAATCTATTTACAGAAAGTGCAAGGAGAAAAAAGGGACATTTAGGGGACAATGTTCAGAGGAGCAGTGAAGAGGGCTGTATGGTGTCATTTGTATTCTGTCTCTCCTGGGAGCTGGTCTTCATGGTTGTGTTTAGTGTGTGAAAACTCATGAAGGCATATATTGAGATGTGTACAGTGTTTATATGTAAGATACTTATTAATAAAAAGGTCAAAAAGTAGATCACAAAGGCCAGCTGGTAGGGAAAAGCTGATGGTAGAGGGGTTGTATCTTCCAAAAACATGGCCCTGTGCTAAGAGGCTGGGAAACAAACTCACCTGGAGAGGCTGTGAGGGCCATCACACCATAGTATGAAAAAGCGCTCGCTTCAAACTTCATACCTTCTTTCCCAGCTTCTACCTCCACTTTCCCCTGTGGAAAGAAGAAGGGAGATCTTCAGTCTGACTGCAAGAGTCTATCTGCATACCCTACATAAAATCTGGTCCTTCCCCAGGTTTGTGTCTAAATTCCTCTCCCAACCGTCCCAAGAAAGCTAAGCTTTGGAAAGGAGTGGGTTAGAACTCATCTTAACTGGCTGGATATGTGGAAGTGACAAATAAAAGAGTGCTCACTTAACATTTTCCCAGTGTCCTGAGCTCCTGGGACCTTCAAGAGCCCTCAGGAATGAAACGAATCAGTGAGACAAACACTGAGGGGCACACCAGGAGCCAGAGCTGGGGTCAAAGGTCAGCATCTTCTATATCCAAGAACAGAGAGAAGTGAACTGGCTTCAGGAACCTGCTCTCCTCTCACAACCCAGTGTCCCAACCATCTAAGCAGACCCCTAGTCCAGGCTCCCTGGGGGCACTGCAGCTCAGACCTGTAGAGAAAAGTGCCTCCAAAAAATCTTTCTGTTGGATCAAAACTGATCTGAGTGCGTCCTCTCCTTCCCTCTCTAACACGTTTGCAACCTTTCCTTTCACTTCCATCACCTATTCCAGTCCTCACCATCAGCCTTCACAATAAGGGCACAGCAGGCCTATTCTGGGCTACTTAACTATTTCCCAGCCTGGGGCTCAGGACAGCAGTGTTCACATCACCCAGTTGCCTCCCCAGAGGATCCTTCACAAGAATGAAGCATGAGTGAGCTACGACTCGCTGAAAAGGAACCATTAAACCAAGCCTGGTGGTGCACGCCTGTAATCCCAGAACTCAGGAAGTGGAGACAAGGAGATCAGAAGCTCAAGGCCAGCCAGGGTTATAAGAGAGGCTGTCTCAAGGGGGGGGGGGACAGAGAGAGGGAGGGAGGGAGAGAAGGAGAAAGGGAGGGTAACTATACCATGTTTATAATTCATCTAATGCTCATGACTCGAAGAAGCAGACACAACTAGCCCCTCATACAGATCAAGAAAGAGATGCTCAGAAAGGTCAGTGATCAAAGAACAAGTTCTCAACACCCACCACTGCTAATGTGAGCTCTTGTCATTTGAACCACTTTCTACTAAACATTACATATTAGAGAAGATCTCTCACCCCATCTTCTGAGGATGATCTGTGCTTCTCCAGGTTTGCCTTCATTCCACAGAAATTTTAGCTTTACTGGTCTCAACCAAGTCTTGCTACAAGAAAGGAACTTAAGCTGGGTGTGATGGTGCATGCCTTTGATCCCAGCACTCAGGAGGCAGAGGCAGGTGGATCTCTATAAGATCGAGGTTAAATTGTTCTGCATAGAGATTGCCAGGCCAGCTGGGGCTACTGGTAGACCCAGTGTCAAAACAGAACAAAACAAAAAACAAAACAAAAAAATGTAAAGGAACTTAAAACACTGATAATTTGTTTGTGTGTGTGTGTGTGTGTTGCTTGTAAATCTAACCCACACCCTCGTGCATGCTTGGCAAGTATTACACTATTGAACTGCATCCCCAGTCTTTCTACCCATAATTTTTTAAATTTATTATCTTTTTTTAAAAAATTATTTTTATTTTATGTGTATGCGTGTATTGCCTGCATGTAGGTAAGTGCACCTGTGTCATGCGTGCAATGCCTGCGGAGATCAGAAGAGGCTGTCGGATCCCCTGGGACTGGAGTTATGGACAGTTATTAGCTGCTTTGTGGGTGCTGGGGTTCGAACCCAGGTCTTCTGCAAGAACAACCAGTATCCTTAACTGCTGAGCCATCTCTCCAGCCCTATAATTTATTATTTTTATGTGTATGAATGTATTGCCTGCATGTGTGTAAGTGCACCTGTGTCTTGCAATACCCTCGAAGGTCAGAAGAAAGCATCAGATCCCCTGGAACTGAAGTTATGGATGGTTGTTAGCTACCATTTGGGTGCCGGGAATCAAACCCGGGTCCTCTGCAAGAACAATCAGTGCTTTTAACCACTGAGCCATCTCTCCATGTGAATGCAGAAATGGGTGAAGTTTGGAGTTGCTACTCATAGGTTATTCGTGGACAATGGACTCAGCTCTGGAAACTGTTCTCTAGCCTCTCAAGATTCCCACAAAGTTAGTCTGCTGACTAAAAGAGGACAGCTGCAGGAAGATTCAGCACCCAAGACCTATCAGGTTGATGTCTCTTCAGTCTTTCATGACAAGCCCAGGTGGAGGAAGACTCACTACCCTCCTCATGAATGTCTCAGAGTCCCTCCCAGCCCATCCATCAGGCAACGATGAACACACCAGGTCAGCTTTTCCCACGTTTGGGTTCCAAGAACCAATTAAAAGCTCTTCTGGCAGCAGATAAAAAATACCAAATTTTTATTTCATTATCTACTGTTACAATCATTTCAGAAAATACCACATATCTTAACTGCTCAACCAATTTAGAAAATATAATTTAAGCCAGGCATGGTGGCACACGCCTTTAATCCCAGCACTTGGGAGGCAGAGGCAGGCGGATCTCTGTGA